GAAAGCCCAGTGATTTACGCTAGCTGATAATAATGACAGCGTTTTGCTTTTAATCTCTGAGGGCCTCCAGTAATTGAGAAACACATTGGTTGCATTCATTTTTGATCACTCAACACAAGGGATTATTTAGCTCCATTGGAGAAAAAAGACAATACTCTTTGAGTCTGACAAAGACAGAATGGAGAGAGATAAAGGGTCCTACAATGAGACAAAGCACAAGATGCTAATGAGAAAATCATTACGCCAGCAGGAATCACAACGTCTGTCAAACCATCAAAAACTTAAAAACCAAAGCTGACACTTTAAGTTAAGTTTTATAGTCAATGTCTGGGATGGCAAATTGTTTCATGACAGTAAAATCACACACACACACACACACACACACACACACACACACACACACACACACACACACACACACACACACACACACACACACACACACACACACACACACACACACACACACACACACACACACACACACACACACACACACACACACAAAGCAGATGCGCACTTCCTCAATAAACAAACCCTGTTCATGCTCTTTCTGTCGAGTGCAGCACTTTTACCACAGATTCAGATTAGTCACGTTTCAGTTTCTGTTTCCATTAGAGACAGAAGCAGACAGAGAGGAGATGGAAAAGAAAATCTTTCAGCCTTTGTGTATCAACTAACACAGGACGAGAGATTTCTGAAATGACCACTGTGAGGGCCAGGCATCTATCCACAAATTGATCTTTGGACATGTGCATTGGTCTACAAATCAAACAAACAAGATACAACATGGTAATTAGTGAGTTTTAAAAGGTGTTGGGAAGACGCTTCTTTTCATACTTTAGAAGCAAGCTAGCTGTTTCCACTGTCTGTATGCTAAGCTAGGCTAACGACGCCCGGTTCCGGCTCACTGGACTGAGGTTGGTATCTACTGTAAAGCAAACAAGTGTATTCTACAGATTAGCCCTTTGTACCCTTAACCAGTGGTCCTACACATTGATACAATTCATCTTTATCAGATTATTCTAAAATTGCAAATAAAAAATGCATTAGTGAGTTTCAGAGAAGGATGGTCTCTTTGCTCTTGTACATTTAACTAGAAACTTGCAACCACATCTTGGATCCCCCCCCCCCCCCCCCCCCCCCCCCTTAATGGCTCGAAAACCCCTTCATACAATAGGGGTTTCTGGTCAGAATATGCTCATATAAGGTCTCTTTTTACGATTCATTTTCAAAGCCTTGGAAAAACAATGAGGGAAGGGGCACTTTGGATTGGACCACTTGTTAGCTTTTTATTTCATCAAATGTAATGTGGTTTTTCCTGCATATTTTGAATGTTGAGACATCAGACCTATAAGAGAAAAGCAATCAGAGACTCTGCTCTCCTGCTGCCTGAATGCAGGCTCAGCCCTCTGTGCCCGACCAGCCATCAGATGGTTTAAACAGACACATAGTTTCCTGTTCACCATGATTCATTATCATCAGTTCAACAGACAGAACACCTCTCTCAAAAAGCCTAAATGTTCACATACTGTAGCTTAAGGCAACTTTCAGTTTCTTGCTAACATGTTGCTGGACAGGAAGGACTCTCTTTTTCCATCCCAGATTCTTTACATTCTTCCTGAGCAGCAAGGCCCATTTATAGCCAATGGTCCGAGCTAATTCCCATGGCAGTGACTTCTAGAAATGGTCTGCTTCACGTTGTTTCACCACAAAGTCCCCCTCTGGACAAGAACATATCTTATCTTCTTATCCAAATAATCCCAGGAAGCTTGACAAACAGCCCTGTTGCCAAACATGTGTGACGTCCATGATATATGAGCTTTCATGTCTCTCTGCCAACAAAAATAAAGATTTCCCAAAGTCCTCTCAATGGTTAAATCTTGCAGCGTAGCTTCCTTATTTCCCCATCTACATCACAGCACCACAGTACAGCTGAGGCTGCAGTATGAGGGCTTTGGCTTCTCTTCTAGTTAACAACGCTCATTTATTCTTATTGTACAGCATAGGGTTGCACAATGAAATGCAAGATGCTCTGCCTTTAGGCCACACAAGAAAAATAACTATTTTTTTATGGTGGAATGTGGAGAATGAGAGGAGGAGTCTAACAGCCTGAGGAGAAGCTGCTCTGCAGTCTGGAGGTACTACTCGATCTCTTCCCAGAGTGCAGCAGGGCTGCTTTGGGGGGTTTTGTCCTATAATATCCACTGGGCTCTGTGAACCTCTCCTCACTGATCTTACTGATTCTGAGGACATGGGACCCTCTTCAGAGCCTCCCTGTCCTGGTCCCTGAACCCACCATGAGAGGCAGGATGCCTCCTGTTGCTCTGCTGTAAAAGCTAACAATAACTTGGAATGAGAATTTAGCCTTCTTAGTTTTCCTGGAGCTAAAATAACAACAGATCTCAAAGTTAGACAAATCAGACGGTGGTCTTTAGTCTATAATTATGGCGCAAAACATCTTACGATCGTCTAAACCACAACTTTTCATATCTGCACCTTATTTTACTAAGTTTGTGAATCATTTGTAAAAAAGACATGTTTTATATCTCTGTCAGGGGCGGCAGTAGCTCAGTCTGTAGGGACTTGGCTTGGGAACCAAAGGTTCGCCAGTTCAAGTCCCGATCGGACCAAATAGCGTGGAATGGTACCTGGAGAGGTGCCAGTTCACCTCCTGGGCACTGCCAAGGTGCCCTTGAGCAAGGAACCGAACCCCCCACTGCTCTCTGGAGCCGGAACACTGGCAGCTGCTTCGCTCAGACGCCTCTGCTCTAATGCATGTGTAAAGGTCCTGTTTGTGCATGAGTTCATGTGTGAATTTGTACCTATGTTAACAAATATGAGTTAAATATAACATTTCCCAATAGGGATTCATACAAATATGTTTGATTTTCTTTAAAACAAAATTGATGTCAAAATCGACAGAATATCTGAAATTTGGTAAAGATACAAAAACAACACTTACGTATGGCATTGAGCAATATTCAATACCTTAATTATGGCAACATAAACTGCTAACGGATAACATCCGAGTAAACACAGGTTTTGTTCGTTGCCAGTTTAGTAGGTATCCTCCTAAAACAAGTGCAGTCTAATACACCAACGCTGCAGGAAGGTTATAGTTCAGTTTGTGTAAAAACTGTTTAGGGAGGCTTAGATTCAAATGTGTCATCATTTTGGAGGATGTGCCTGGTGGTGCTGTTGAGCTGTATTGCTTTTGCTGGAAAGATGTAATGACATAAAGAAAGTGGTGATCATCTCCGACTAGTGATGATGTGAAGAAAAATGTCTATCCAGTGTGATTATCAGATCTCAGCAGGACTATCACATATAAATCAATCTACCAACCAACCGCAGCAGCAACATGTCCGCCACATCAACACACATCCTGGTGTCTGATCACTCATTATGGGATGCCACTGCCTCTTCTGACAGACCACTGGAAATGTTCCAGAAGCCTGGAAACCATATGGTGTTTCTACAACAAGGACACAGCTTTACCTGCAGTAGGTTCACTCACTGTTACTTTAACTCAAAAGTGCAACCAAGCATGATTCTCCAGTCGATTTAACATCCCACCTCAGTATCCTCAGACCTATTGACTGCCACATCAACCAGACACCAACAACAGCCCACTGAGGGAGCAGAGAAGGGAAATCAATACCGCATACAGGGTAGCAAATGACAGCACCAGTGTTCATGTTCACAGTAACATTCATACAGGAGGAATTAAAAACTGTTCTGGGATAGGATGATGTGGGACAACATGTGGCAACAGTGCTGCTTTAAGAAACCAGGGTCGGCCAACACAATATCCCCACTGTGGAGATCATTCCAACTGAAATCTGCTTTATGGCTGTACCAGATTTTTGGAAAGGAAATTTGCTTCATGTGTTTAGCATTGTCATTCATGTGTGGTTATTTAAGTACAAGGTATGCTTTTAATGTATCCAACAGTTGCATTATAGCCTTCAGTCAGTGTCATTCCTTCAAAATGACGGACGTCCTTCATATTTTCCCTTCAGTATTCAAAAGATTAGGTCAAATATGACACTCTGGTACAGTAGTATAAAACCCACCATCAAATCAAAAGAATGTTAGAAAGGGGAGGAAGATACAAAAGGAACACAGAGAGCCCAGGGGATTCTGTGTGAGCAGCAGGGAACCCACTGTGTCCTGTCGTACTGGATTCACTGCCTGCACTGACAAAACTGAAACATTGACTTTAATTAATTGTATTATGTCGGCAGATTTCACACAACTGTATCAGGTTAATTGAAAGCAATAATATTAAGTTTAAATAAAACAACTAACCTAATACAGTTATGTGGAATGTGTTGACATAAACATTTAAGTCAAACGGTTTCACATTTCAAACATATGTGTGCAGTGTATTTTATATATTGCACTGACCTTAATATGCCTGGCATCTTATTAATTTACATTTCATTCATTTCATTGAAATTGTACACTGAGGCGAGTGGGGGAATGTGTTCCTGCATCCTAATGCATTGTGCAGTGCTCGAGAAACAGAACACAACTCAATGAGGAGGATATCATACATGCACACTTCAGCTCTCACACTGTGAACATGCAGCTGTCCCTCATCATTAGTTCACTGATTGTGGACTTACCCCTTTCTGATGTTTGAGCACACTTTTTAAATGTTAAAGCCTAGACAGAGAATGTGTTTGGTCCATTTGGTGGAGTCTCATTTGACAGACCAGAGCAGCCTGACCCTGAGGGACGCCTCTGAGATGAGAGGGAATCCACCACGCTCCACACATGAATATATTACACACCATATGTACGGAGTTACAGCCGCATCCACTTCAAAACATTCATTCAACTGCAATGCAGTCCTGAAAACATTTGGCCAACGAGACCTTGATGAATAATGTTAGTGATTCAGTGATCAGATGCAGCGTGCAACACTCCACAGCCTGAAAGTGGGCCACTCAGACTGTAGCAGCTCCCTGAAATCACTTGTTTCCTCCTACCTCATCAAAGCCGCTGTCCTCTTTCTTGAAAGCTGCAAAGAGAAGAAAGGAAGAGAGAATCAGACACTGCCTGTATTGACATCTTTTGAAGAATGAACAAAATAAAAATGTTGAGCAGAAGTTTGGTCCCTGGAATTCATTCTGTTTTAAAGCGACTCATTAAAGCAGCCCAGGGGGGGGAGTGTTGATTGTTCACCAGTCCTGGTGACAACTCACTTTCCTCATGGAGCAGCCATGTTGGGAAACTGAACCATGGAGCAGCCATGTTGGGAAACTGAACCATGGAGCAGCCATGTTGGGAAACTGAACCATGGAGCAGCCATGTTGGGAAACTGAACCATGGAGCAGCCATGTTGGGAAACTGAACCATGGAGCAGTGCAACGTTTGTGAACAGCCAGATCATTTATCGGGTTAATCAGACATTGTGACCCCATCCAACTCTAATGACAACCTGATTGGTAGAAATGATGGCCAGATTCTAAACTTAGTCAGGGGCAATTTATTTTCTTTACAATCTTTCAACAGGCAAATGCAATTCTTATTTATGTACAGGTATCATTTCCACTGGGCTAAAATGTGATCAAAATGTGAGGCTGATCTGCATTCTGCGTGCATTTACACTTGCATTTACATCTTTCTCATCATCCAGATAGGATCTACAGATATAGTATTGATATTATACACAGTTCCTTTCTTCAGGCTTTCATTGTGATGATGAGCAGTTAAATCAATCATCATTTCAATAACCCTGTAACACTAATATATCCAGTTACCTATGAAACTATACATGATAATGTAGGGCTGTGCAATTAATCGTATTTTAATCGCAATTACAATTTTGGCCTGCCACAATTACGAAAACAACATAATCGAATAAAACAATTATTTTGCTTTGCTAGGTTGTGACAGTGCACTGCAACATATTTGATCTAATTTATTTTGGTCTAATTTATTTGTATTTATCATATTTATATATGATTAGTAGCTTTTGGAAGTGCGCTCCAAAATATTTGTTGATCTTGTTTATTGGTATTTATTATTTTGATATTATTTATTTAAAGTTTTTCAGTTGAATTATACGTTCAGGGTAATCAACAGTTATAAGATACTGTTCAAATTATTATTTGTATTTGTTTTAAAGTTCAATAAATGGATGTTTTCAAAGTCAATGAATAATCGTATTTAATAATCGTGATATCAATTATTGACCAAAATAATCGTGATTATGATTTTTGCCATAATCACACAGCCCTATATAATGTATTCATTAATAATAGTCTGTGTACCAGATTAAGGGCAATGAAACCAACATCAAACTCCTTTTCTACACACTTAGCTGATAAAGCTGATTATGATTCCAAAACCAGGTGAAAATGGGATCATTTGGATAGAATATAACAGGCTCAAACAACAGCTGGACTTCATGCTTATAAACATTCACAAACCGTTCAAGTTGCAGAAGACATCAATGTTCTACCAAAATGTCAACACTTCATCATTTTATCCTTTAAGACAATTGTGTAAAAACATCTAATTAGCATGTTATTTCTTAGTTATGGCCTAAAATGTTTTTTTTTAGTTGACATTGCCCTTGACCTTTGACCATTAAATCGTAATCAGTTCATCCTGGAGTCTAATCGGGGGGTTTATGCCAAATTTGAAGACATTTCCGAGAATGGTCACGGTGACCCTAAACTAAAAAACTAAAACAAAAAAAACCTTCCAGATGGTTTGGAGATGTGTTCACAAGAAGAGGACAGACGTAAACCAGTAAATCAAAGGATATCTGGTTATTAAGGTTTATAAGTAATAAGAAAAACTATACAAAAGGCTTTTCAGGTGTTTATACATCTACTTCTCCCATCATCAATGACACTCCGCTGTGTTGCTCATTCATTGCGGGGGAAGATCCTGTTGTTAGCAGTGGGATCGATATCCTTCATATTTATGGGGAGGGGAATAAACGTTTGTTTCTGCAGCTTTGATTTAGACTTGTGAAGAACATTAATAGGCAAGTGATGACTTTCAGTCATTAACGCCTCATGATGATTAAGATGTCTAATGAGAAAGGCAATACAGATGGCGAAAGGCCAGAGGGCCCGGGGGCTTCTTTGTGGTATGAGGTTTGTTTTCGTTTGTCAGATTGAGTGTTTGGAAGCAGTGTCAGCCTGGTCACTGAGCCAGCCTGTCCTCCTACAAAAAACAACCATATAGGCCGATTGTTCATGCCCTTATTACGACCCAGAGACACGTTTTAAAGTGTATGTTGTTTCTTACACGACCACTAGAGGTGCTCTAGTTGTCGTGAAACAACCAGGATTAGGATTAGCAGTCAAATATAACATATTCAACAACAAAATTCAATAACGTGCTTTAACCACTAGGCGGTCCGGGTTAAAAAACCAGTGGTCTAGATAATAAAACATAATAATATCAAACATAATATGACTATTAACTTTATTGTGAAATTAAAACAGAACGGTAAAGAAAATACAGTTTCAGTCTCTCGATTTGAAGCTTATGCATTGTACCATGAACCTGTATAGACCTGTAACAGTCAACTGCATGAGGAGTTGGAAAGGTAGTTCAGTAAATAATATCTTTAAAAACTACAAGTCCCTTTCTATCAGCTGTGCACCGTTATGGTGTAAATACAGCCTATCTACTAGTTGGATCAAATATAAAAGTCAGCCGAATTAGTATTGATACTGCAAGGAGACGTATTGTGTGAAAATAAATGGAAGATGTTGTTTAATTGCTGATATATTTATGATCCACGTCACATATTCAGTTTTGGCGGCATTTCTTCCAGTTTGTCAAAAGGTCTTCTCATCAGGGCTCTATAAATAAATATCTACGGCAGATGTGTAATATTTAATGCAGCCGAACCGTGTATTACAATGCCGTTATGTGATGACTTCCAAAGAGAAAAGCAAGAACACTCGGAATAAAGTATTATTTTATTTAAAAAAAATGTTTTTCCGATTTCATATCGCATAAACACCATATCCCAACGTGCATTGCGGCTAAACCAATCGATGTTTTAGCCTATCAAAACCTCTGAAAAAAGAAAGGTGTCTCTCAGAATCGAAAGGGAAAAACCTATGGGAAAAACACAAAAGCATTGTACACAATTTAAACCAATAAATGTCGTATAATTAACAAGGATAAACTGATGTTTTTTAGTGGATGAGTACTGCAGATATCACTGTTAAATCATTTGATCATTGGTTTTATTATGAAAACGTCGAGACCGGAAATACTGTTTTCAACCCGTAACTTTACATGGACGCTGCCGCATATACACGTTCTCCTGGCGAAACCTCAAATCATCTTCGTAATATCTATCAAACTATAGATCCTACATATCGACTGGACGTGGATTCTAAAAGTACAATATACACTTCTCGCTAGAAATCTAATCAAAAAGCGTTTTAATGGCCAAACTATCCTACAATTTAGGATTTTACAGAGAGGGTTATTTGTGAATAAACGACCATCTGTAACGTTAGCATTCAACGGGAGCACTAGAGGTCGAAAACTTTAAAACGTGATTATAGGACGTATTAAGCGCTTGAACAAACGACATATTCGGTCGTATGAGTTGGAGGACTTGTTGCACTGAGCCGTGAAACTGCTGCTTCCTTCTCCTCAAAGGTGAGCACACACACTCCCCAAAGACTTCCCAGACAGCATCATGTCAGCCGCAAAGCCACACTCAATACCATGAATCAGACAGCAGCTACACGATGAAGCTGCTGTCTGACTGACATGCTCACTGAAACGTTTTACATTGTCAATGCATTCAAAAATGTATTCAACATGTTGTCATTCGTAGTATTATTCAACAATTCTTCCAAATATAAGCTGAGCTAATGATTTGAGAAAAATAATTAATTGCGATTTCCGTGACCAATATTGCAATACAAATTGCAAATATGTTATGGGCTATGTGTTACACTCCAGGCCAGTATTATTTTCTGCATAAGGTGTTATCACAAATGCTCCCTGTTCCTACGTCTTGTAGCCTCCCTGAATGAAGCCATCGAAACCAAGCTACAGTAGGTTTCAATGACTTACCTAAATGATGTACCATTATAATAAATGAAATATCAAATTGGCATTCCATGTATTGATAACAGCTAAAAGAGACTGCCCCACGACAAGTGATGTCCGACCATGTGCAATAGCAGACCAGTGACTGCTAACGATACAGTTCTTTACACTGTAAATGCTAAAGCTAAAGCTAATGTCCAAATGCCGTACATTTAGCTTTTTTTGGCTTAATCTTAAAACATCTCACAGCTAGTTCTTCCCCCCCAACCCAGAATGTGATAAGCACGTATTGGAGATGTAAAGATGATCTGATACTTCATGAATCTTAACTTCAGCTGCTTCTTCTTTTACATACTCTAGATAGCTTTACAAGGCATATTTATTTCTTTATTTAATTGTTTATTTGGCAGGGACAATGCACAGTAATGAACACTTCAAACATTCAAATGTATCAAGCGTAACAGTGCCAGATTTAGCTTTGAGCTAGTTTCCATCCGCAGTCCCTCACATAAAACATTTAAGATGTTTACATTTTACAAACATAGCAAAAAAAAATACATGATATGCAAAAGGTGCAACAGAGCAAGAGCAGCATACACAAGTATTTATGACATGGTAATACAATCTAGCAGCAACGACATGTAAAGTGCAAGAGATGATACAAGAGCTACCTAAAGTGCAAGAGGAGATACCCCTGTATTAAAGTGCATTTAGCGGTGATTGCATGTCTGGTTGTTTCTCAACCATTCTTTGAGTTGACCTTTGAAGCCATTGAGAGTGGGACAATCCCGTATCTGAGTTGGGAGGCTATTCCACAAAGAGCTGCCTTTAATGGAGAGGACATTTTGTCCAAAAGTGGTCCGTCTGCGGTGGACTTCACAGTCTCCTCTGGTTTCTGACCTAGTGCAGCATCCAGTGTGTTTTTTGTGGATGAATTCCCCTAAGGGAGGGGGGGGGGGGCAGTCCATGTAAACA